TCCTGGCTCTGCATTCCGCTCAGAACCACTGAGCCGGGAGGCCCCGGGGGACTGGCCGCCAGCACGCTCTCCGGCACCTGGGCCAGCACCAGTGGAGCGTGCTGTGCCCTCGCCACGCCCGACTCCAGCCTTCGCTGGCACAGGGGACGCTGTCCCGGAGAAACCCTGGCACAGCCGAGTAGCTAGGGTCCAGACTGAGTGCAGACTGAGCCAGTCACTTCACTCACAGGTGCCGCAATGCCACCACCTTGAAGGAACCAGAAACCTTTCTTTAAACGATATTCTTCATACAAGCATCCCAGGGTTTCTGTGGCCAGGGGTTGCCATCCAAACCATTGTCAGAAGCTATCATCATGTAGTTTTGTGACTGCAGGGAATGCCTGCGAGTAGCCCCATTCTGGTCACTCAGCGAGCCCCTGCGGTGGGATTATATGACGTTTCCTTGCCATTGAGGTGTGTGTGGAAGGAACACGTGACGCTCCCAAGGGCTGTGTGGGGGCCTCCACAGCTGGCTGAGCTCTGTGGTGCGCAGCCAGCTGTTTGCCACATAGTTCCTAGAGGCCACAACAAGGAAATACCCAACCAGCGCCGAAGGGGTGTGCTCTGGCTGAGTGGTCACCCTTTGTTGTTTTAAGACATTGACCTTTTTGGAGGTCATGTGCTCTCACAGCATGACCCACACCAACCTGATGGGTATAGAAGTCAGTATCCATAACTAATTAGGGAACATGATTAGGGTGACCCACCCAACTAAAATACGTAGCGATGTGTGAGGAACAAAGCGATGCCTGCTGAGCAGGCTCTTACTGGAAGCCCAGAGGGTGGTGTTCTGTGTTTTCCAGGACACCCTGACCTGAGCCAGAGGGGAAGCTTTGCCGAACTTAGTAAATGCAAGGTCTTTGTGGGGAAGCATAGGTCTCTGTGGGGAAACATGGGACTTGGTTGGAAAGTTTGTATGGAGGAAAATTCCGAAAATAGGAGCAGGCTGAAGATGGCCCTTCATGTTTCTTGGAATTCCAACTTTGGGGAGTTTGGCTGAAGGCAGCAACCCCTAATTGTTCCTTCACCTTTCCAAACAAATATGTGCACATGCAGACCCCCAGGTGTTTACTGAATCTTTACACTTAATCTTCAGGTATCCTTACTTAAAGGATGCTGTAGACACACGTGTCCCCCAAGATTACTTACCCCACTGATTGTATCTGAAAGATAACCTTTATCTCAAATGGCTATAACCAAAAAAGCCTGAAGAGGCAGGTGAATGGGACTGTCTGGTTCCTTTAGCCAGGCCATCCCTTAGCCTTCTCTTTCACAGCTAATGTGTCAAGGTAATTCATCTGTTGCTCAGGCTTTGCTGGTCAGCCCCAGCAGGTCTTGGGAAGAGGTTTGAAAGCTGAATACTAGCCATGTGTGTTGGTTGTTTTGGGGCAGCATGTGACGAGGTACTGAGTCTGAGTCCCTATCTAGACCCAACCTCTCCTGCCAATCCTGTGAGCACCTCTGCTCTGTTATGCAACTGAAACTTAGGGCATGCTTGTTACTACTGCAAAACTGAGCCTGTCCTAACTGAAATGTATGACATTTTCTACATTTCCCATTGGCCTCATTTTTAAAAAGAAAAAGCTGAAAGAGCCTTGGTGAATGCCTGAATGTTTCAGAGCAATTAAAACCGGTCTGTTTGGTCACTGTGAATCAGTGTGTATCCTTTCTGGCACCAAAGAGGATACTCCCCAGAGGTCTTTGTCTTTTAACCCCCATCAGAGCTTGTGCTCAGAGAGACCAGAATGGGAGGTCATGTCCATATTCCAGCTTAAGGAGGAAGAAGATGAAGCAGAAAACTTATGTCACCACAGGAAACACAGCCTCAGTAATTCTTCCAAAACAAGTCTCTGGACATGGCAAGAGGTCTGCACTGTTCATGTGACTTCCCAAGCAGCGCCATGCTGGAGGCTCTATAGACAAAAGCAAGTCAACGGTCAAGGCTTAGACATAAACTTCGTCCACAGCAGGCAGCACCTCGGATGCGGTGCCTGTGAGGGACTTGGGCCTCAGCATGCTTTTCTGTCTTACCTCCCACTGGGCAAAGCCACAGCAAAGGCTGGAGGTCAGAAAAGCAGGACTCTGGGCTCGGCCGCCCTGGTCTGCGGGTGGGAGTGACTGAGGACAGACTTCCCACGAGATTGAAGGACCATTTGGAGGATGTCTGCTGGTCTCTCACACAGAACCCATGTTTCCCGGGAGAATGTTCACAGGCCTTTGCTGGCATGTGGTCCTGTGCCTCCACATGCAGCTTCCCCATCAGCCCGGAGTTAAGCGAATGAGCACTGCATACCCGTGTCTGCTGCAGGCAGCGTGCACCAGGGGCGATTCATGTGTGCACCAGAAACGCTTCCCCTCATGTCCTTCTCTTCAGAGCAGCCATTCTTGCAAAGCTTTCAATCCATCATGGCTCTTGGCCTCTCTGGGGGTCTTGCTTCCGTTTGAGAAGCTGATGGAGAATACGAACTCTCTCTCACCAAGAAGGCATATGCATGTGCTTAGATTAAAAAATGTTCATGGCAGGGATGCACGAAATTCCTTCTGCCTGCGGGAATTGTGTGCCTCAGTCCTGCTTTAGATACATAAGGAAGGCGCGTACATGCTTCTGCATGCATACTGTATATACATACATATTCTTTCTCATGACTCAACCATGGCAGCAGAACAGCAGGGCGGAGTGTGCCGATAACATGCAGGCAGGGAACTGCCATTTTGGAGCATCCCCAGCTTTAATCAGAATGAAACATCGGGGTAAGCAGTGCTATCTCAGGACACAAAATGATTGCTTTACTCTCCCAGGCTGACAACTCATATCTGATTTTCTTGAGCAAAGCTGGTCATGTCTCGCTCCATGTGGATGGCTCCACTGAGGCTGGAGCAACACAGAGTTCCAAAGCTGACAGGCACTGCAGGGTGATGAGGCCATGCAAAACAGCTGGAGGCTGCGCCTACACCTTCTGTGATCGATAGATCGATTGATCTATCGTGTTCCCTGCCAGGCCCGCCTTGTGACACTGTGGACCCAGGCCCACCCCTCTGACAGGGCTGGATCATGTCTTACTTCATCCTAGAAAGTGTTCTCCTGTGATAAACAAGAGAGGGCCCTGGCCTTACAGAGAAAACATACCTGTCGAATTCATTATTAGAGTTAATATTGGGGTTCACATTTGGTGGGAGAGGTATTCAGGGAACGTAAGATTCCTGGCATTTTTAAGATCCCACATGTAAGGAGAGCACCCACAAGTGAGGGGAGCACCCACAAGTGAGGGGAACACCCACAGATGAGGGGAGCACCCACAGGTGAGGGGAGCACCCACAGGTCAGGTGAGCACCCACAGGTCAGGTGAGCACCCACAGGTGAGGGGAGCACCCACAGGTGAGGGGAGCACCCACAGGCCAGATGAGCACCCACAGGTGAGGGAAGCACCCACAGGTGAGGGGAGCACCCACAGGTCAGGTGAGCACCCACAGGTCAGGTGAGCACCCACAGGTGAGGGAAGCACCCACAGGTGAGGGAAGCACCCACAGGCCAGGTGAGCACCCACAGGTGAGGGGAGCACCCACAGGTGAGGGAAGCACCCACAGGTGAGGGGAGCACCCACAGGTGAGGGGAGCACCCACAGGTGAGGGGAGCACCCACAGGCCAGGTGAGCAACCACAGGTGAGGGAAGCACCCACAGGTGAGGGGAGCACCCACAGGTGATGGAAGCACCCACAGGTGAGGGGAGCACCCACAGGTGAGGGAAGCACCCACAGGTGAGGGAAGCACCCACAGGTGAGGGAAGCACCCACAGGTGAGGGGAGCACCCACAGGTCAGGTGAGCACCCACAGGTGAGGGGAGCACCCACAGGTGAGGGGAGCACCCACAGGCCAGGTGAGCACCCACAGGTGAGGGGAGCACCCACAGGTGAGGGAAGCACCCACAGGTGAGGGGAACTCTCTTGCCAAGTATAGCTGGAAACCCTCCCAAAGGCCATGGGGCTCACACAGTCAGTCAGATTACTGCATTGCTCATGCCAGAGCCAAGGATAAATCTAAGACACGCGGAAGGGTTGGGGAGCTTCTTCCTTTCCTACCACTTGAGGAAATGGATCGGCGTTGCCTCTGAAATACGAAAGAAGCCTCAGCTTCATCAGCTCATTGTACAGCAACACGGGAAGCATCGCCAGCCGGTTCCCTCCGGGAACTCCCCACCTCTGTCTTGTATCTTCTCATCAAACAGCCATTGCGTCGCCACAGCAATCACTTTTCCAGTTCCACTCTCTGCCTGTGTGCAGGACAGGCCGCTTTTCAAAAGGCGAGGCCGTAAAACCTGGACTCGCTTCCTTCGGGCTCAGAAAAACATGTCCGGAGTCACGCAGCCCCAGAGGGCTGTTAGCTGCCAGGAGTCCTGGCCATTGTCAGGCTGAACTCTGTGTCCATCGCCATATCAAGTGGCGAGAACAATGCCCCTGCAGCTGCCGACTCAGACACACCCCAGGTCTGTGTTGTCAAAAATAGGAAAGGAAAAGGCTGGGTGCAGGGTAAGTCATCCAGGGGGAAGGGAAGCCGGGAAGGAACCGGCACTGTGATTGAGCCCGGGCCCCATACAGTTGGTAAATTACTCAACTGTGTTAAGTGCTCAAAGAGCTTAAAAAATGACAATCAGTCAATAATTTGCACCTCTGGGCTCCCACTTCCCGCCGAGTCTCTCTTTTCTAACCTCATCTGCCCCTTTCTCCTTCGTCTTTAACCTCGTCGCTAACCCAGCCATGAAACCTGACTTCTTTGAATTATTTCATTTCTCTGGAGAGCATAGGGCCTCTCAGCAAATGTTTCCTAAGTGCCTCTATTTTGTATTCCCCCCAAATTTCAAGCAAACGAAACGAAAAGAAAATTAAATCCACTGTAAAACAGGAATCTTTGTTTGAGTTATTGCACACACAGGCAGGTGGTAATAAGTATGACATCAATTTGTTAATTTCAGATAAATTGGTAAACCACTCTTTATTTACGAGAGTATAAGTGGACACAATCGGTTTTTATTTTATTATTTCAAGAGTTTCTACAATTAGCGTTAAGAAAGGCCCTGACTTTCAGATCCAAGATGTGTTCCGGAAGCTGGGCAGCCTGGTTCTTACTGTCCGTGAGAGCACGTCCACACCTACAGAAAACAGTTTCAGTTTGTCTGAGCCAAAGACACGCCCTGAAGCCAGATATGGTGCGTGGGGCAAATGGCAGATCTGGTGAATGGAGAATGGCAGTCTTGCAGCTCCTTTCACACGCTGGCGTCCAAGGGGAAAGGAAGGTGCATGGGGCCCACTGGCGGTAGGCTGGGAGGCAGGGAAGCCAGGGGGATCTCCAGGATCGGGTGAGAACAGCACGGAGACACCCTTCCTTCCTTTGGGAGTGCGGCAGAGGTGACAGGAGCTCCCACCTGGAGGGGGGCTGTGGGAACAAGAGCACCAGCAGCTGCCCTGGCGGCTGAGGCTGCGCCCAGGAATCTAGAGAGAAAAGACGGACCTTCCAAAGGCCTGCTATCTTAGGGGCGGAAGCCGGACAGGCCCCTGCAGGTAAAGCTGACCTTGGCTGAGGAAGCTGCAGGCTGGGACGGGCCCTGCCTGGGAGGAGGCTGTGATCAGAGCAGACCACCCGGCGTGGCCGCTTTCAGTCACTGTGCTCACCAGGCTCAGTCCATGCCGTCCATCGCATGCCTTGCTGGTTTGTTCAGGCTCTTCTGGGTCGATTGTGGGATGTGCTAAGCACATGTGTCAAACACAAGGCCCGCGGGCCAAATCCGTCCCGCCAGGCCTTGCAATGTGGCCCGCACCGCGCTGTCATCACTGCACTCCGCTGCGTTTCCATCACAATGACAGTTTATGACTGTTCAATAAACCATTCGGCCCACGATTTAGGCTGGATTTTAGATTTTGGCCCCTTCTCTGATTGAGTTCGACACCCCTATAATGGAATGATTTATTTTTCTGTCTGACTGCCACTTCCCCCATCACCTCAGTTTATAATGATTTTTGATGGAATTCCTCGCAGTACAATTTTAAAGACACGTATTGGGTTTTTCTGAGTGAGTGTCCTCCAGCAGCATATGTGACTTCGGCAGAAAACGCACTGATGGCCGCTGAGTGCTTTGGACACAGCCCGGGTGTGAGCAGTTCCACACGACACCACCGACTCAGGTTCAGCACCCAGAAGAGCAGAATCTTATCACTTGACCAATTCGAACTTCCCTTACATGTTTCCCACAGAGAGGGGGTGCCCATGTGACAGGGACAATTGGAAGTATGCTAAGATGAATGCTGGGGTTCAAAAGCAGCCAGTCCGCCTCGGAAGCAGAGCCTAAATCCTCACCTGGAGAAGGAACATCTGGGACCTTGGTGCTCAGGGACCCCTCTGCCAGCATCTGAGGTAACTTCCCGCTGCAGAAGCTGCTTCAACCATTTGCCTCTTTCTCCCCTCCCCCCACCCCCTGCAACCCCCAAGCGAGAACTCTTGCCAAGGGGGTGGGGTTTTCTCAGAATCGGAATGTGGGCTCCATTCTCTGTTGTTTACTCTGCCCATTGGATCCCAAGAGTTCCCAGAAAACCGAGCTTCTAAGACTAAGGATAGTCCCGGGTCACTGGACCACTCAGTCCACGTGTTCAGTCCAACACAATTGGACTATTCCCACAGGAAGTGGGTGGAGGTGAGAGAAGTGAGACACGGCCTTGACAGACTGACAGGAATGAGAGGAGGAGAGAGAAGCACTTTCTCGGGACTAGGAATGGAGCCCATGACCCTTTGGTGCGTGGGTCAACACCCTAACCACTGAGCACACCAGCTAGGACATAACTCATTCTTAAATTATGTGGGAAAAGGAGGTAATATTGTAATAATCAGGGCACTCAGACGGATAAGTGACAATTAGGTGATAAAATTGCATTGTTAGCACGGAGGGGCGTTTGTCCTCTGACTGTCCAGACTGTTTCTGCGACCAGGAAGGACCACGGTTCTCTCAGGGGCCTGGCCCGACCACAGAGCCATCCAGCTCCCTTCGCCGTGGTCACTGGATGACCTGCCCACTCTACAACTGAAAGATGAAGCAGAGGGGCCGGAGTCCGGGAGGCCAGGACACAGGCTTTATCGGTGGAGAATACCCCTGCCGGGCTGCCTTCCAAGGAGAAAAAACACATGTGCCGAGGTGAACACGCCTTTTGAGGGGAGGAAAAGGAAGGGACAGGGCTTAGGATACTTGGCACGCGCTGATTGGTGGATTCATGTAAGGTACCTGATTAGGGGCCTAGGGACTTAGGAATCAGGGGCTTAGGGTACTTGGCAGGTGCTGATTGGTGGTTCAATGTACAGTCCATTAAGGTGCCTGGTTAGGAGCTCAGGAATGTCTGTGCTGCAGGTGGAGTTTACGTCATTCTCTGTCCACCAGTTGGAGGAAGGGAGGATCTATCATAAACCTTGATTTGCGTTCTGAGCCTCTGGATAAACTACTCCAGTCTCCTTCCAGGAGGATACCTTTAAAGCAGTGTTTTTCAACCTTTTTTGGGCAAAGGCACACTTGTTTCATGAAAAAAATCACGAGGCACACCACCATTAGAAAATGTTAAAAAATTTAACTCTGTGCCTATATTGACTATATATAAAGTAATTCTCTTGAATAGGAATCAAATAAACACAAAGAAAGTATTTTATAATTACTTTATTATGAAATATTAAGTAAACAAAATAGTGAAAAATTATAAAATTCTTGTCTTGTCTGCACCTACGGCACACCAGGCAACATCTCGCGGCACACTAGTATGCCAAGGAACAGCGGTTGAAAAACGCTGCTTTAAAGAACGGATCCTAGTGCTGCTGGTGGAAAATGGGTTCTTCCACCGGATTGTGAGAAAAGCGTCCGAAGGGCTCACGCACGGGAGACTGGAGTGGCAACATTTATTGGTGATGCAAAATCTAAGGCGTTCCCCTTGTCCCATGTCTGTCCGTCCACCAGCGAAAAAGTCCAACCTTGTCTTCATCAAGGCCAAAGCAAAGCCCCGTGTCCAGAGTTTCTGCTTCACATGAAAGCTTAGTCCTTTGGAACCCACGTGATCTGCTGCAGGCCCCAGGTGGCTGCTCAGAGGTGAGAAAGTGCATGAATGAACAGGTGAGTACAGGTCAGAGACAGACAGAGAAAACATGTGTTGTCCCCAGGGGTTATATTTTCCTGGGCTTGGGAAGAATCAGGAGCTTTTTAAGAATGACCAATGAACTTCCCAGGCTTTCCAAAGCTCTGTTGGGTCCACCCTGACCAGCCAGCTGTTTCCCAGGTTAGATCACCTGGCCTCTAGGTCAAGCACTGGCCACCCCTTTTCTTCCCCCCCCCCCCCCCTCGCCCCGTGTCATTTTGACATCTATTGAGCATGTGCTTTCCTCCCCTCACCCCCTGACAATCCAGTACCCTGGGGGGAGGGAAAGCTGTTGGTTGTTGCGGGGGGGGGGGGGGGGCAATGCCTAGTCCCCGTGGAGTGTGTATGAGCTGTAGTTTCCTGGTGAAGCGAGCAGGGTGTTGGATTCCCTTTGCTTCCTTTCCTTCATTAATATCCAGTGAAATACAGTGACATTAGGTAACATTTGCCATAATATATATATATAGTTCTTTTCTTTTTAAAGTAGTGTTACTGAAAAAAGTCACATGTACAAAAATCATATAGACTTATAGGTATTGTTTAAATAATAAATACTTTTTTAAAAAAGTACCCAACATACAGGTTAGAATCCTGTAATTACATCCGCTATCCTCCCAACCACTCCAGGGATGGCTACCAGCCTATGTTTTCACCACCTCTTGCCTTTCTTTATAGTTTTCTCACTTCCATATCTACCTCTAGCTCAATGGTTCTTAACCTTTCTAATGCCACGACCCTTTAATACAGTTCTCATGTTGCAGTGACCCCCAACCATAAAATTATTTTTGTTGCTACTTCATAATTGTAATTTTGCTATTGTTATGAATCATAATGTAAATATCTGTGTTTTCCGATGGTCTTAGGTGATGCTGCTAGCAGTTCTCAACCCGAGAACTGTTGCTGTGCTCAGTGCATTTAAAAAAAAGATTTTTATTGATTTCAGAGAGGAAGGGAGAGGGAGAGAGAAACATCAGTGATGAGAGTGAATTACTGATTGGCTGCCTCCTGCATGCTCCCTACTGGGGATCAAACTCGCGACCCTGACATGTGCCCTGACCAGGAATCAAACTGTGACCTCCCGGTTTATAGGTCAACATCAAGTTGATGTTGACCTATAAACCGGCTCAGCACACAATGGATCATTTAGATTTTTTGATGTTACATGGTGCATGTAACTGAGGTTATTTTAGTTCGCTGCTGTGCATCTGCCACGATATGACTATAACATAAGTTATCTCGCCACAGGCACAGGTGTTTGGTTTGCTTCCAGGTTTTTAGTTAACAAGCAATGCTATTGTGAACATTTATATGTATGCCTCCCTCTGTACATGTGCAAGAGTTCCTTTGTGGAATATGTCTAAGAATTGAGTTTCTGGGTCAGAGAGTTTGAATTTACTAGGAAAGGCCAATTTTTTTTTTTGAAAAGTTTTATCAGTTTACCCTTCTCCAGCACAGGTAAGCACCTCTATTGTTTCATATCTGTATAAACACCCGATATTATCTGGCCTTCTAATTTTTCTAAGCTGGTGGATGTGAAATGGTTTTAATTTGCATTTCTATGACTAATAAGGTAGGCATCTCTTTCTGTTTATACAGGCCAGACTGGAGAACCCAGAAAACAGACCCACCAAGTGCAGAAACCTGGCTTAGGACAGAAAGAGCATTGCAAATCAGCGAGGCAAACATGGACTGTAATAATTGATTCTCCCAGTGGATGAGCAAACAGAGTTTCCATCCTGCACAAAAATCATAATTTCAAGTGGATTAAAGACAAACATAAGAAAAAACTATAGATGGCCCTCAACTTAGAATTTTCAACTTCATGATGGTGCAAAACTGATACGTATTCAGTAGAAGCCGTGCTTCTAATATTGAATATTGATCTTTCCACAGACTAGGACATGTGGTAGAAACTCCGTCATGATGCTGGGCAGCCTCATCGAGACCAGCTCCCCATCAGCCCTGCAATCATGAGGATCAACACCCGATAGTCTAGCAGTGTTTCCCAAACTTTTGACATATGTGTACCCCTTCTATAATTTTTGTAACGCTGAGTACCCCTTGTACTCATGAGAATGTAGAATTAGGCACAGCTAAGCACGCTGCAGTGCATACCCCCACCAAATTCCGGTGCAACGCGTATCCCCACCAAACTCTTCCCGTACCCCTGGGGGTATGCATACCACACTTCGGGAAACACTGGTCTACAGTGTAGTCACATGTTATAAGATTTACCCAACTGTGGGCTAATTCAGGTGCTCTGAGCATATTTAAGGCCAGGTAGGCTAAGCTATGATGTTCAGTAGGTTATGTGTATTAATTACATTTTCAACTTACCAATATTTTTAATTTATAATGGGTTTATCAGGACATAATCCCATCATATGTTGAGGAGCAACTGCATAAAACTTTTAAATGATAATTTAGAAGAATGCATTTATTATTATAATTTTAAA